CCAAGTGGCGCACTCTCCAGTGCGCCACCAGGCTGGCCCTATTTTTTTTTTTTTAAAGATGACTGGTAAGGGGATCTTAACCCTTGGTGACTTGGTGTTGTCAGCACCATGCCCTCCCAAGTAAGCCACGGCCCAGCTCCCCTCCGCCATTTGTTGAATAACCATTTCCTTCCCCATCTTTGTCTCGTTTTACTGTATATTGAATTCTTATATTGTGATTTATTTTAAATAATGTTTTGACCTTTTAAAAATGACTTTGCTTCCATATTTAGCGTGTATATGATGAAGAAGTGGAGGAGCCGATACTCAAGGCTGAGGCAGAAAAACCAGAACAGGTACTTGTGTTAAGTCATGCTTCAGTGGAGTTCCTGACTCACAGAAGAAAAGTGCTAGACACGTGTAATGTGGCTGGTGGGGACGTAGTGGGCAGGGGATGGATCCTGGGGGAGTTGGGAAAGACTGCTCCTGCCAGCAGCCCAACAGTTAAACTCTTTCATTTGCTTGTGAAATTTAACATATTAAGTAATACCTGAATTCCTGAGTTCTGGCATAGAGCAGAGGTCGGCAAACGNGGCGGCGCTCCCGCCAAGGGTTCAGATCCCATGTGGAGACCGGTTCCCGCTCACTGGCTGACCACAGTGTGGGCGCAGAGGGTTGCGATCCCGTTGCCGGTCCCCGGTACGGGCGCAACACCAAGGGTTGCGATCCCGTTACCGGTCAGTAAAAAAGACAAAAAGGAAAAAAAAAAAAAGAAAGTATATGGTTCAGTGGTTTTTAGCTTATTCATAAAGTTTCATAACCATGTTCACTATCTAATTCCAGAACATTTTCATTACCCCATTTATACTGACTTTTTATAAAAAGCATGTTGTACTTTGGTAGTCTAAAAACAAGGAAACCACAATGAGTTGATGGAGCCATAGGTCTGTTTTGGAAGAGTCTCACCTGCCTGTGCTGTAAGGGTCAGTCAAGTGCCTGGCCTTTTGGCAAATCAGTGGTGGGTTTTGCCTCTCTGCTTTCATGTAAATGGAATAAAAATCTACCAGCCATTTTAAGCATCAGAAAGAAAATAAATTTAGGGCCGAGCCCGTGGCGCACTCGGGAGGGTGCAGTGCTGGGAGCACAGCGACGCTCCCACCGCGGGTTCGGATCCTATATAGGAATGGCCGGTGCAGTCACTGGCTGAGTGCGGTGTGTGCAACACCACACCAAAGGTTGCGATCCCCTTACCCGTCACGAAAAAAGACAAAAAAAAAAGAAAGAAAATAAATTTTACCTTCACCGCTTCTATTGCTGCATATGTTAAAGTTCTTGTTGGCTGGTTGGTAAGCCATACTAGTTGACATTCTCAGTAGCTTCGGGTAGGCGTGGCTGCACCACTGCCCCATCAACATGTGTGTTTGGGTAAATGAAAAGCTGTGAAAACCGGCATCTTACTGTTTTTACATTTCTTTGGTCAACAGGGAGGTTGAACTTTTTTCATGTCTCATCATCATTTATGTCTTTTTTTTAAATTTAATTTTTGGTGAATTGACTACAGTTCTTTGCTGTTGGTCCGTGACCCACTGGTAGTGGCCTCAGCCATTTATTTTTATTTATTTATTTATTTATTTATTTTTTCCTTTTTTGTCTTTTTTACTGACCGGTAATGGGATCACAACGCTCGGTGTCGCGCCCGTACCAGGGATGGCAACGGGATCACAACCCTCGGTGTTGCGCCCGCACTGCGCTCAGCCAG